GGGGCCTCGCTCACCTGGCGGGGCGGGGCCTCGGGGGGCTCCCCCAGGTGTCTCACGTAGGGCAGAACCTGCTCGGGGGTCACCGGCATCTGCTCCAGCACGGCCTGGAGCCGCAGCCCCACCACGGCCGTCAGCCAGCCCACCAGGGAGGGGGGCACGTCGGCCGAGAGACGGCGCTGGGGGGGGACAGAGACCCCTGAGACCCCCTGAGACCCCCGGGATGGGGCACAGGGACCCCCAAAACCCCCAGACCCACAGGGACCCCCCCAGCCCCACCACGGCCGTCAGCCACCCCACCAGGGAGGGGGGCACGTCGGCCGAGACTCGGGGGGCGGGGCGTCGCTCACCTGGCGGGGCGGGGCCTCGGGGGGCTCCCCCAGGTGTCTCACGTAGGGCAGAACCTGCTCGGGGGTCACCGGCATCTGCTCCAGCACGGCCTGGAGCCGCAGCCCCACCACGGCCGTCAGCCAGCCCACCAGGGAGGGGGGCACGTCGGCCGAGAGACGGCGCTGGGGGGGGACACGGGGGGGTGAGAGACCCCCTGAGACCCCCCAGGAACCCCCTGAGACCCCCCAGGAACCCCCCTGAGACCCCCCAGTGTCAGGGCCCCCAGGGCCCCCCGTGGGCACCGACAGTGACACTGCCAGCCCCTGCAGCCCCCTGCCCGCGGTTCAGGGGCTCTGTAACCCCACTGTAATTGGGTCTGGGGTCTCTGTAACCCCAGATTAAATGGGTCTGGGGTCTCACTCACGATCCGGTCGCTGATCAGGGCCCCCAGGGCCCCCCGCTCCCCCCGCAGGCAGTGCAGGTTCAGCGCCAGGCACAGGGACAGTGACACTGCAGCCCCCTCCCCATGGATCAGGGGCTCTGTAACCCCCAGTATAAATGGGTCTGGGGTCTCTGGGGGTCTCACTCACGATCCTGTCGCTGATCAGGGCCCCCAGGGCCCCCCGCTCCCCCCGCAGGCAGTGCAGGTTCAGCGCCAGGCACTCGAACAGGCCCCGGTTGCAGAGCTCCAGCAGCCGCGGCCCGAAGGAGCCGTCTGGGGGCAGAGAGAGACCCCTCCTCAAATTAACACAGAGACCCCAGGGACCCCCAGAGACCCCTCCTCAAATTAACACAGAGACCCCTCCTCAAATTACAACTGGGACCCCCAGAGACCCCTCCTCAAATTAACACAGAGACATCCAGAGACCCCTCCTCAATTACCCCAGGGACCCCCAGAAACCCCCCAATGACCTCAAAGACCCCCCCGTGACCCTCTGGACCCCCCCAAAGCCCCCCAGAGCCTCAATTACCCCAGGGACCCCCAGAAACCCCCCAATGACCTCAAAGACCCCCCCGTGACCCTCTGGACCCCCCCAAAGCCCCCCAGAGCC